ACAGCACGGCCAGGGCTCAGCACGGTGGCCCGTCTGTCCCTCGTGGTGTTGAAGGCCATGGGCTAGCATCTTCAGCATCGTCCCCTCATTCGGGGCTGGCCCTGCCTACGAAGCCGGATCCCCGTGGCGAGCACGGTTCGAATCTCAGCCTCGACAAGCTGGAGAACATGCTGGGCACGTGTGTCTCCATGCTCCAAACCCTGCCTGGCAGGGAGCTCGGGGAGAAGGAGCTGCAGCATGACCTTCGTATTAGAGGAACGTCAAAATGATCTGTGAACACGCCTCAAGCCGTAACACCGCGTGGGAAGGATCTTTTCAAAAACTCGAACCTGAACCCGGTGACGTCCCTAGACCTAAGTACCGGTTTATAGAAGTACAGGGGCCAGACGTATTACACAGCACGGTGCAGGTGCAGTAAGTAAGATCCAGAACGCGGGACGTTTCTGAAGGGTAAAGAATGCGGTTCCCTGAGTGAATACATTTCAAGGATAAACCGAAAGGGAGGTCAAATTTAGGTGAAAGAACCTAAGAGACATCAACAGAATGCAGCTATCAGCAGGTATTTCTTAGATCTGTTGGTGAGAAAGATTTTTAGGCCGTCACAGAAATTTGGACATGAGTTAGCTGTTGGATCAGTTATTGGATTATTGTTTTTATTGGTAGTAATGTTATGATGGTCCGGTGGCTATGTTTTTAGCATGCCCTTGTTTTAGAACTATATCTAGTACTGCAACATTTATAGAGTGATCGCAGGGATTAGCTTCAAAATAATGTGACACGGGGTGACACGGATGACAAAGAGTGGGGGAGTGAAAACCTAGCTGATAGGGAGGTTGGGGTTCAGTCCTCTGTTGTCTCTTCTGTGGAAATGTTTGCATTTCTCTCAACAAAAGGGTTTTACTTCTAGGGAAACTATCGCATAGCAATTTTAGTTGATCTCAAAATAGAAAACAGAACGCACACACCAAGCTTGTATGGTACCCTTTGCTTTCTAGTGTAGTGTCAACTCTGTTTAAATCGAGTTTGTTCACAGAGCGGACAAGGACACTTCTGGATGTTGAACACTGCTCGCTCGAGTGAAGACGGAGACGTCACTTTTCCCGTGCTGGTAGTCTTAGCCCGCTTCGGCCTAAATGCTACCGGACTCCTGTGAGCTTTCCTCTGTTTTCAGTTACATCTCACGCTCTAGCTTCACTTTCTGGTCAAACGCGTGTCTTGGACTTTGATTTTCTGGTAGTAACAGAATTCGTTCCCGGACTGTATTTAGTGTGGTATTTTCCTCTCTTTTCGTTCTTCGTGATAGAGCGTAAGCATGGGTCAGAGGGCGCACCCAGGGATATTCAGGGTCAGAGGGCGCACCCCGGGGTATTCAGGATCAGAGGGCACACCCTGGGGTATTCAGGGTCAGAGGGCGCACCCCTAGTGTAGTGTCAACTCTGTTTAAATCGAGTTTGTTCACAGAGCGGACAAGGACACTTCTGGATGTTGAACACTGCTCGCTCGAGTGAAGACGGAGACGTCACTTTTCCCGTGCTGGTAGTCTTAGCCCGCTTCGGCCTAAATGCTACCGGACTCCTGTGAGCTTTCCTCTGTTTTCAGTTACATCTCACGCTCTAGCTTCACTTTCTGGTCAAACGCGTGTCTTGGACTTTGATTTTCTGGTAGTAACAGAATTCGTTCCCGGACTGTATTTAGTGTGGTATTTTCCTCTCTTTTCGTTCTTCGTGATAGAGCGTAAGCATGGGTCAGAGGGCGCACCCAGGGATATTCAGGGTCAGAGGGCGCACCCCGGGGTATTCAGGATCAGAGGGCACACCCTGGGGTATTCAGGGTCAGAGGGCGCACCCCGGGGTTTTCAGGGTCAGAGGGCGCACCCCGGGTATTCAGGGTCAGAGGGCGCACCCCGGGTTTTTCCAACTGCCCGGCTCCTCCAGCCCAGCCCACTGGGTCTCGGCCACTCACGCCTGTGCTGCGGGTTGTGTTTCAGGCGGGCCAGGCCAGGGGTTCGACCCGCAGTCACCGTGGGGGACCCAGCCTGTCAGGAGCGGGCATCATCGCTGCTTTTATTTCCTTATCAGATGTTTTAGCTTGAATGAGTCATGAACTCAGACAATTCTAATTCTATTTTTTTCTCTACTTGGTCTTTTCTGGAGTGAATACTATGTCTCTTTTGTATGAATCTGTACAGTCACTGGTTTTTCAAAACCCTGGCAACTGTGGCGTTCAGCTTGGGTCGTAGTCAGCTTCTCACCATCACTTTGCAAACAGATCGGCCTTTGCAGCGGTATCTGTGCTGGACGGATGTTCAGATCACCTGCCCTTAATCAGCGCTATTTCCAATGGGATTAAAAAGAAAAAGTCTAGAAGCACAATGGTTGGTAGGGAATCTTCCCTGAAACTTACAGTGTAGTATCCAAACCCGGCAGGTGCTCCTCAGTTCATGATGGGATGAGGGCCCGATCAGCCCATCACAAATTGAAAAATCTCAAATCAAACACGCGTCACAGACCTAACGTAGCCGCACAGGGACGAGCCCAGGCCGCCGGGGGCTGGAAGGACAGAGGGAAAGCACAGACAGCTTCTGGCTGCTCTCTGGGAGAGAATGGGCCGGGCAGGGAGACGGGCCTGACCCAGCCTGGGGCTGCCTAGTTTGGATCATTCTACCAGGCTCTGGGGGATGGAGGCCAACTCTGGGATGACGAGGTCAGAGGAACTTTGCCCGCCATGGAAGGGGGGGAAGCTCAGTCTAACCCCCACAGGTCAGGGGTCGTCTCTGCTCCTGCTCCCCTTCCAGGAATGGAGCTCGCCACACTCTTCTCCCATTTCTGATGTCTGTCATTGCTAGGCCTTCTGGCTCGAATCCTGAGAATATGGTCGTCGAGGATTTTTTTAGAAATGTGCTATCAGCCAGTATTTTCTTCAATTGTATGGGCAAGGCTTACTTTATAGAGCCGTGGACTTTGACCTCAGTGGGTTCCTCTGACTCATTATAACTGACGAGGAAAGTACTGCTGGCCTGTCACCTCCCCAGGTGCGTTGGCCCAGGCATCAGTGGCTTGGCTGTGCCTCCGCTCGCTTGCCTGTCCACCTCTGCGCTGGACTGGATAATCTCTAAAGACTCTTACAGGTCCGGAAACTTCTCAGAATTTCAGTCCTTTTCCCAACTTCTGAAATAGCACGAGCCTTTTATTCCCCCCGCTCAAACTCTTCTGTGTTTCTCCCTTATTTGCTTCGTGCTATGGCTTCTTCATCAGAATTTAGAGAACAAGTCATGCTTTTCTAGAAGGGGGCCACGAAGCTTGACAAATTAGCAGTGAAACACCGTGGAGTCAAAGTGTAGACGGTGCTGTTGCGTCGATAAGCCGTGTCTGTCTAATACACATTTTCCGTTGATTGGGTATTTGCTAAAAGTGGGCAATTTAAATTATCTACCTGCAATTTAATTCTTGCAGATCTCTAGTTTTTAATCTTGGAAGTGGTTAGTGTGCATTTAAATGAAACCGTATTTAGGTATTAAAATCTTACCATATAGTTCACAGATATTTGGGGTAAAACGCCTGTCGCCATTTTCCGCACTTCCTTCTGTGATCCACTCTGATAGCAGCCGCTTGGCGCCACTGTGCACAGACAGTTTCCAAAGAATAAGGAAGGGGACCCCCAAAATCGTGAAGCCTGGTGACCCACGTCTTAGGCATGAATCCTACTTAAAGGCAAGACTCAATTTAAGTCACCATCATGAGGAAAATGGTGAAATGTTACCTCTCAAAGAGGATTGTTCTATTCTGACTTTAATGGCTATTTCCACAATACTTCGCTATACTAGTTAATTTGTTATTTGCTTATTTATCCTTCATCCTACTTTAATTTTTGATATTTGACGTCCTGAGGGCTTTAGCAACTCTCTTTTGTCCCAAATAAGTCATTTCAAAAGTTCTGTATTTTTTCCTCTTTCAGTGCATTTGACATTTTGAAGTTTACATTTTAATCACATGAAGTTGACGGTTTGATCACATGTCATCATTGAAATCTTGATATTTGCATCAAGAAAAAACAATGGCAATGGTTCCTTGAAAAAGTTGGTCATTTTGCGACCAGCAGTTGGCGTAATGGCTATGTCACTGGACTCCTACGTAGTCGACTGCGGTTCGAGTCCTGGACCCAGTGGCTTAAATTCACGCCTGGCGCGTGTGCGTGCGTGCCCAAGATCCCGAGAGGAGAATGGAGGAGAAGGGATTGTGACATGGCCATGCCCCCTGGGGGGTGATTTCTCGCTTTCTGTCTCTCTGTCTCTCTCTGTCTGTCTGGCAAATGCACGCGCCCTATAGCAAAAACCTCTCCAAAAAAAGGCGTAGCGATTATGTCACTGGACTCCCACATAGCTGACTGTGGTTCAAGCCCTGGACACGGTGGCTTGAAACTCATGCTGGGTGTAACTGTGTGCTTGCCCAAAATCCTGGGAAGAGAGTAGTTGAAGGGGATTGCAGTATGACAATCCCCACCCCTCCCGGGGATGATTTCTCACTTCCCTTCTCACTGTTTCTGTCTGTCTCTCTCCTGCGAGCACATGCACCCTAAGACAAAACCTCTAAAAAAAAAAAAGAAAGAAAGAAAAGAAAAAGTTGGTTATTTTATTTTATAAAGTCTTCTACTACTAAAAAACCAAATGGGCTAAAACAAAGCAACCCCGTTCCTCCAAAGAAGTAAGTTATAATTCATTTTACTTAAAAGCTGTCGCATTCACACATACAGTGATTTTAAGTGTGTGAAGAAATTTGAAATGTTTAGATGTTGAAGGGTCCCGTTTACCTCTGGGATATAATTTTCCTTTTTTCACCCATTTTTCAGACCCACTAAAATCATGAGTTACGTGGCAAATACAGACTTGCTCTAAAACCTGAAGCAGCCATTGGTACCTCTTAAGAGTTAAGAGTTTGCGGGTGATTTCTTAAAACTGTGCTAGTCGGTTTCAAACCTGTGAGTGTGTGTGTGTTTTCTTCCAGGTTTCCTGAAATGCAGTTTTTCCAACAAGAAAATGTGAGAAAAATTCTTACAGATGTTCTTTTCTGTTATGCGAGAGAAAACGAGCAGTTGCTTTATAAACAGGTAATGAAAATATCTTACAGGTGGCATCCATTGACTCAAAATTTTCTATACAGCTTGACAAATGATAGAGCAATAATGCAGCCTTTATTGTATCCAAAGTTGTATGATAACACCGAAGCAATCAAAGCTCTGCTCGTCAGCTGCATGGCGAGGAGAGGAAGCTCATTGAAGCACATATGCTTCCGTCTCATTATAAGACATTCCACCAAATTGTCTCCTGTAAGGTGTTCGGTCTTTTCTTTCAACTTTTGGGAGTTTGTTTATAAACAGCATCTTCGAAGCCAATCTAGTAATAAAACTTTTCAGAGTCGTATGTGTAAATGTTGTTTCTAAGTCTAGCGTTTGCACATACGTGACGTGGCATGTAGACACGAGTCGGGTACCCTATCACTCTTTAGGACGTACCCATAGTCGAGCGTCAGACCATTTCTGTAAGGTTTTTGAAATTCACGTTTAGTGTCTTTGTGATCTTGTTATTCGTTTCCTCGTTATAAAGTCAAGATAATGGCATTGTTTTGTTTGTGTTAAAATGTGAACTATTTAGTAAAGGCGTAAGTTATCCCGGTCTCTACCGGAGTTTTAGAGTTCCAGTAAAAGTGCACCCCCGCGTATTTATCCACAGTAGACAAGTATACTTGGGAATTCAGACCGAATTCTGAAATTTTCTCACAATCAGAAGTTGTGACATGTACCTAATTTATGACCACTGAATTTTAATGTCATGTAGTAGAAGACACCTGTGGTACAGTGTTTTTAGTTTGAAAGGACTTGCTAGATTTAAAGATGGTAAACGAAATCAAATTGCAGTTATACTAAATAATGTGTTACAGTAATAATCATACTCCAAAAATACATTAACATAATCATCAAAAACGTAGCATACCTTATTTTTAATATTAGGAACATGGTTTTATATTAATTGCATGCTGACAATAGCGTAAATGGAAAAGAATGTATCCCATTCATAACAGCAACCAGAACTGTAACAATAAAGACATGAAAGATGTATGAAGAGAACTCTATGTTACTTGTTACTGAAGTACATAAACCAAAAGTTTAATAAATAGAAAAATAATGGCATGTTTTGGGACTGAAGACTTTAAGTAAAATGTTGCTTTTTTCTAAATGAAATATTCCAGTGACAGCCTCAGTGAGATGTATGTGTTTCCTAACCTGGGCACAGTTATTTTAATGTAGCACCTACAAGCTTTGGAGATACTGTAATTACGATACTACAACTTGGTTAGAAGACCTGGGCCTAGACTTACATTCCTTTATTTGAATCTCAGCTCCACAGCTTACTAGCTGTATAATCTTAGGCAATTTACTTAACTGTTTTTGGTTTTTTGTTTTTTAATATGCTATAGGGTGCATGTGCTCACCAGAGAGAAAGAGAGGGAAATTGAGAAATCATTCCTCAGGTGGGATGACCATGCTATAACCCCTTCTCTATGCCCCTCTTGGGATTTTGGGCACACATGTATACACACCCAGCGTGTTTTTCAAGCCACCAGGTTGGTGACTTGAACCACACAGTCTGCCGTGTGAAATCCAGCTTATCTTTTTTTTTTCCCCTTTTTGAGGGATTTTTGCTACAGGGCATGTGCACTCACCAGAAAGACAGACAGAGAGAGACAGAGAGAGAGAAAGCAAGAAATCCCCCCCAGGACGGGATGGCCATGCCACAATCCCTTCTCCTCCATTCTCCTCTTGAGATCTTGGGCACGCACGCACACATGCCTGGCATGAGTTTAAGCCACCAGGTCCGGGACTCAAACCGCAGTCAACTACATGGGAGTCCAGCGACATAGCCATTACGCTAACTGCTGGTCCCAAATCCAGCTTATCTTAAGCACCATGCCGTTGACTGACCCCTTACTTAACTTTTTTTTTAATGGCAGTTTTTGCCTTAGCGTGTGTGCTCTTGCTGCAGAGACAAAGAGAGACAGGGAGGGAAAGTGAGAAGTCACCCCCCAGGATGATGGCCATGCCACAGTCCCTTCTTCTCCATTCTCCTCCTGGGGTCTTGGTCACACATGCACATGCAGTGGCATGAATTTTAAGCCACTGAGTCCAGAACTCGAACCACAGTCAGCCATGTGGGACTCCAGTGACTTAAGAGCTACTCCATCGGCTCGTCCCCTTTACTTAACTATTTAATTTTTTGTTTTGTTATCAGTAAGACGAGGGCAATCATCGTGTTTATAGAGTTAAGAACTCCAGTACTCGGCAAGGTTCATTTGGTAGTAAAGGCTATTGTTGTTATTATCATCACTATAATGATTATTAAGTGTGTTGGAGTAGCCACAGAACTTGGGGTAGGAGGGGAATGGCACGTGGAAGTGTTGAAGCTTCTGTAGAGCTTCTCTGAGCAGATCACTGTGAGAGTATTATGCGGATTGCCCACAGTTCAGTGGAGGACGTGAGGACCAGGCCTCACTGTGCATGTGATCTTAACGTGACGAAAGAGGGGAAAGGATATTGACTTGTACAGTTGGTTTTAAGGGGAAAAAAGATTAAACCATGCCTTTGTGGGAGAAGAAATTCCGGAGAGAAAAGACGTAGCAGCACTCCTGTAAAATCCCGGGGTAGGAAAGTCTTCTCAGGCCAGAGGAGCTAGCCAGGAGTCGGAGGACCAAAGGCGAGGCCCCCTGTGGCTCAGTCGTTAGGGAGCTGGGTTCCACTTGGCCAGCTGTCCTTCCAGCCTCAGTGGCTCAGAAAGCATGCTGGGAATGCGTGCACGCCCACACCAGATAGCCCAGGGTAGAGAAGAGGAGAAGGGTTTGCAGTGTGACCACACCCCATCAGCAGGTACTCTCTCTCTCTCTCTCCCTCTCTCTCTCTCTCTCTGCTGAGCATCTTGTGAGAATCAAAATACACACACACACACATATATATGGAAAAAATAAAGACCAAAAGCAAAGAAACCCAAACAGGAGACTAGGAGGAAATTGTAAAATCTCTGTCGGTGTAGGATTCTCTTGTAAGCAAGCCACCGAAGACCCCCTTCCACATGGCTTAAGCTGTGAGTGTCATTAGGACACAGCTCAGAGCCGAGGGTAAACGGCCCTGTAGCATGAGTTAGTCCCGTTGCTGAGAACGCTCACCGAGGGTCCAGTTTTCTGTTTTTCTGCCCTCTCCTCATCCTGTTGGTTTTCGTTGGGAAGTGTATCTTCTCATGGCCTCTCCTCTCTCAAATGTTGGAAAATACCTCCCAGGGAAAGATGTGATGATAGTGAGTCCTGCAGGATGAAATTATCCCAAGGTGCACATTCATTTTCCTTTAGAGAAAGAACAAAGGTAGAGTCCTCTAGTCTATCGTTGCGGGTATCTCACAGCTGTGGGCAAGGAGCCAAAACCTAGCGACTGCGCGGTCCACGCTGGTGATGCGTGTGGCCCGCTGCATCTGTGTCAGGGCTAGACAGGGGTGTGGAAGATGAGACTTTTGATAATGATTTAGACCACGTTTGTCAATTACTGAGGAAGAAAGTGTTACCAGCTTACTCCTGGGACTTACAGAGAAAGACTTATTTTCCCCCTGTGCATGCGTAAAAGAATCCTATAGATTCTTTACAGAGACCTAACACCTTCCTTTAGAAGGACTGAATATTTAGCCAGATCAAATTTAAGAAAAAAACCTTGAGTCTCATCACAAGCTGTTAAAGCTATTATTTTGTACTAGGTGACACCCCGTTTAACATCGACCATATTGTTAATAGTTATGGGATTTTATTGAATTAATGAGACTGTTATCATGCAGTAGAATGTCTTGCTGAGTTAATTGAAACTGCAGAGATTATATAAATGGTATTAATGAACTTTGACTGCCTGATGCCTCAGCTTTAATAAAGACTGCTTGGTGGGCTAAATGAACACAGGCAGATAAAAGAACAGGTTCAATTTTGTGAGCCTACAGGCTGTTGATGAAGAAAACTTTGTTACCTTTATTTCCGGCTGGCATGACTTCGGAGTGCAGTGACTACTAACAGTCTAGCGGAGATAAAAGCCGTAAGCGAGCAGAAACGTCGACAGTGTAGAGTGAAGCAAAATACACGTTTGGGGAAGCAAGGAAACTGACAAAATATCATCGGTGACGACGCCTTGCCATTTTCGTAGCACGTTGGCCTCGCCGTGCCGGCAGGAGCGCGTCGTTGCATGAGGCTGCGTTCTGAGCAGGCCGGCCCAGCGGTGCACGCCTGCGGTCCTAGCTAGCCGGGAGGTTGGCGGCCTGGCCCTCTCACCAATACCTGTCTTCCTGCTTCTTCCTGTGTGTGCACACTTGCTTGCTCCCATTAAAAAATAAAATTTATAGCACATTGGATTCACAATTATTCTTTTATTCTTTCTGGATATTTCTCCTCTTTTAAACGGTATGGGTGGGCTTGCCACTTGTAATAATAATCAGTTTTTATTAGTCTAGAATTGAGAGCAAAATCAACCACCTCTTTCAGGTGTTTGAAACAATTTCCCTAGTTTAGGTAAAAGTCAAAACTCAATTTGTAAAAGATCCTCTTAGGGTATTCAGAGAACAGTCTGTAGAGAGGAACGCTCATTTATTGATTTGAAGCATTATTTGGGGCCATTCTTTGTGTTTTTCATATTGTATCGAACTCTTACTGGTGTGTTGATATTAAGTGATAGGGTTTCATTCAGTCAGTCGGTGTGTGGTGAGTGCCTTCTCCGCTGGGCCTGTGATGGTTCCTGAGTCCATGTACATACAACTGTGTACACGCAGCCCTGTACACGCAGCCATGCCCATGCAGTCGTATACACGCAGCTGTGTACATACAACCGTGTACACACAACTGTGTACATGCAGCCGTGTACACGCAGCCACGTACATACAACCGTGTACCCGCAGCTGTATACATGCAGCCATGTACATACAGCCGTGTACACACAGCCACATACATACAACCATGTACACGCAGCTGTATACATGCAGCCCTGTGCATGCAGCCGTGTACACCCAGCCACGTACATACAACCGTGTACACGCAGCTGTATACATGTAGCCCTGTACACGCAGCCGTGTACACGCAGGCACGTACATACAACCATGTGCACGCAGCTGTATACATGCAGCCCTGTACACGCAGCTGTGTACACGCAGCCACGTACATACAACCGTGTACACGCAGCCACCTACATACAGCCCTGTACACGCAGCCGGCTACACGCAGCTTTGTACACGCAGCCACGTACATACAACTGTATACATGCAGCCACGTACATACAGCCGTGTACACGCAGCTGTATACATGCAGCCCTGTACACGCAGCCGTGTACACGCAGCCACGTACATACAGCCGTGTACACGCAGCTGTATACATGCAGCCCTGTACACGCAGCCGTGTACACGCAACCACGTACATACAGCTGTGTACATGCAGCTGTATACATGCAGCCCTGTACATGCAGCCGTGTACACGCAGCACACACATCCAGCACTCGATGCATTCCGTGACTGTACGGCCATTTCTCTGCTCATTTTATTATCGTGTGTCTCCCTGTGTAGACTGCAGGCTCTATAAAGGTTAGAAACTTGCTCATTTCATTCACTTCTGTGTCCACAGTAGTACATACAGGCTTTTTTGCCAGAGGGTCCATGTGCTTGTCAGACAGAAAGACAGACAGCGGGACAGGAAGACGCACCCTCTCCCCGTAGAATGGTCCCACTGCAGCCTTTTACCCTTCAGGGTTTGGACTTGCTCGCACATGCACCCCGTGTGTGTGTTAAGCCCTGGGTCCAGCCACTCAGACTGTGCAGTTAGCCATGTTGGATCCAGCCCCTTTAACCACAGGAGCATGGACTGGCCCACAGGCTTTTAATAATTTTTGCAATAAGCTAATGACAATTCTTAAACAAAAGAAGAACCCAGAGAAGGTGGTGTCACAGAAACTAGGGGGCAAAGAGTGATTTAGAAAGGTGAGAACGGGCCAGGCGCAGGCCTAGCGGTTCGGCTCCGTGCTGCGGAAGCTGGATCCCACGCGCCTGACTGGGTTCGAATTCCAGCCCTGTTGGCATCACTGGGCACGCGTACAGTGTCCAGGGTCCTGACAGGATGGAGAGTCAGAGGACAGGCCACACTGGAGCCATTGTCTGTCTGTCTGTCTCTCTCTGAGTATTCAGGCACACATCTTCTGGTGTTTAAAAAAAAAAGTGTGAAGATGCATTTAAACAATACGCCTTATTAAACCAACCATAATTAGTTAGAAAATATATTGGGGGCAGACCCATTTGAAAGATTACCGCCATCAACAACAAAGAAAGAAAACTTAGTGGTAAACTTAATGATAGCTACGTGACTCTACAAATGTGCGGATTAGAAAAGCTGGTCTTACAAATGTCTTCTCTCCTTCCATTAATGCACTGCCAACAACTCCCGAGAGGAGAATGGAGGAGAAGGGATTGCGGCGTGACCATCCCCCCTGGGGGGTGATTTCTCGCTTTCTGTCTCTATGTCTCTCTCTGTCTGTCTGGCGAGCGCATGCGCCCTATAGCGAAAACCTCTCAAAAAAAAAAAAAAAAAAAAGAATTGATTGGAAAAAAAAGGAAAAACTATATTTTTACCAAATCTCAATTTGAGGAAGGTCTTTTTTGGCTTTCACGTCTAGAAAAGTATGAAACTACAAAATATGATTTATTTACTGACTATTTTGAAGTATATAAGTTTAGTATGACAGAAGATAGCATGATGGGACCAGCCCATGGCGCGGTGGTGGAGGTGGTTGGATTCCATGTGGCTGGCCCCATGGTTCAAATCCTAGACCTGGCTGCTTGAAAACATGTCAGGTGCGTGTGTGCGCATACCCAACATCTTAGAAAGAGAGAGAAACGGGGGAAAGGGATTACAGTATGGCCATGGCCATGGCGGGTCTGTCTCGCTTTCCTTCTCCTCCCTCTCTTTCTCTCAGAACACACACATGCCCTCTGACAAACTCAATCTTAAGAAAAAGATAGCATAGTAGAATTAAAAGGTAAGTGTTAAGATATGGGAAAATATCTGTAACGAAAAATATACAAATTAGTATCTTCAATTAGAAAAGACCTGTTCAAAATCATCAAGCATAAGGAAACACTGTATCAGGAAAAAATGGGCAATGTATTAAATAAAAATGACCAGTAACCATTTTAGCAGCAGTTTGACGGCGCATTTGGACAAGTTTTTAATAGCACTGTGCACGTGTAGCTAGGGTGCGTGAGATGGCACCTCGCATCCTCTACAGCAAGGGAATTCTTTCTGGAGGCAGCTTAATGGGGTTCGTCAGGACCCCGAACAAATATCTTCGCCCCTCTTCCAGAATTTCGACTCCTGAGGACTTTCTCCTAAGGAGACAAGAAATGAGCAAAAACACTTACAACGAAGACATCTCTTCGATGGCTTTAGTTTTTCATTTCTTTCTTTGGACTTTTGACATTCCCTCCATCCTTCATTCATTCATTTGTTGCTTTGGCTTTTCTGTAGTTTTTCTACAGTGAGTAACTATGGCTTTCATGATTAAAGTTCTAACACCTTGGTTTTGGAAAACCTTGACATTATTCCAAGAGAATAAATCCCTCATGATTCTTTTTCTTTCTTTCTTTTTCTTTTTTTTTTTAAGGGAGATTTTTGCTGTAAGGCACGTACACTTGCCAGAGAGACAGAAAGAGAGAAATCACTCCCCAGGGCGAATGGCCATGCCACAAACCCTTCTCCTCCATTCTCCTCTCAGGACTTTGGGTCCATGCACCTGGCATGAGTTTTAAGCCTCTGGGTCTGGGATTTGAACCCTGGCCAACTACACGGGAGTCCAGCGACATAACCATTACGCCATCTGCTTGTCCCTTCTCATGATTATTTTTACAATACGGTTACCAACACTTAATTTTATTTTTGAGTGTCTACCATGTCCTGAGTGAAGGACAGTCTTCTCAAGGTTTGCTGATTGAGGCAGATTGCCTAGAAAGATAGAAATGGTGAGTAGGAGCTTCTGCTAAACAACGGCTTGTCAGTGGACTGTAAACAATTGTGTAAAAATCTCATTCAATCATTGGTAACCAGCAGTTAACGTAATGGCTATGTCGCTGGACTCCCACGTAGTCGACCGTGGTTCGCGTCCCAGACCCGGCTGCTTAAAACTCATGCCGGGCGCGTGTGCGTGCGTGCCCAAGATCCTGAGAGGAGAATGAAGGAGAAGGGATTGTGGCGTGACCATCCTCCCTGGGGGGTGATTTCTCGCTTTCTATCTCTATGTCTCTCTCTGTCTTTTTGGCGAACACGCACGCCCTATATAGCAAAAACCTCTCTGAAAAAAAAAAAAAAAGAAAAGAATGTTTTAAAGAAAGTTTACTTTTCTGTTATCTTAGTGAAACCTCTGGGTTCCCAAGGAATAGCACAATACTTCTCTACTGTACAGGGTGATGTGACCCTGTCCTGACATTACAAGAAGCCTTCTCTAACTCCACCCGCAGAGATTTTCCCTCCTCGCTGGTTACTTTATTTTTATTTTCTCTAAAGGTGATCATTTACTTTTTTATGAACCAGCATCCTTAAATACTAACCAAAACGAAAACTTTGCTCACTTTAAGAGGTGGAAAAGAGTGCCATGTGTTTTAACTTGCCAGAAGATGGTTTTGATTGTTGAGGGGGTAAATTTTCAATTAGCGAGGCTGGTCACTGAAATGTAGTACCTGTACCCACGGTAATGGATAAATAATGGATTTTTATAATATTTCTTTTAAAGATGGAACCGGTGTTATGTCTTTTTGTTTTGATGCCTATTCATGTTTTGGGGTGAGCCCTAATATAAGGGGAAACATTATATCAGTAAAATCATTAAATAAATGAAGAATTAAACTTATGGTTGAGCTAGATAGAGAAAAAATGTTCTCTGATGAAACGTGTTGAAACTTATGGTTTGAAAACTTCTGTCATGCCTGCTAAAGGTTGATTCTTTTATTACCCAACATTCCTAGCTAGCTGACTCGCTCTTCCTCAATCTGCAGACATCCTAATTTTGAGCCATTAGATAATGAAAACATGGGATGTAATTTCTTAGGTCTACAGTTCTTAGTTGCCCTTCTTACTGCAGATCTTTCCCCTGTAGCTCATGATTATAATTTGCATAAACGAAATTCATATTTATGAGTACAGATCTTGAAGCAACTGACAGGTGCGAGATTGTCTACCATGCCAATTTATTGTTTGTCATGTCATCTAAAAGAGACCTGCTCCCCGTGCTTTGCAGCATACGCTATGGTTGACTTGGAACTCATTCTAAGAGTAGGTGAGATCTCGTTTTGGAACGTTCTGTTTCTCTGCTCTTGTATATAATAAGGTAATGCTGGTGGGGAATTCTCAGTTGAAGAAGCGTTGAGCCGCCCATCGGATGGGCTCTCAGTATCCCCTTTCACTTCCCTTGCTGTGTTTCAGGGCATGCACGAGCTGTTAGCGCCCATAGTCTTCATCCTGCACTGTGACCACCAAGCCTTTCTACATGCCAGCGAGTCTGCGCAGCCCAGGCAAGTCGATCTGTGGGCCCATCTGTTTCCCTAGTCCCCACTCTGATCTCCTTCACCTCAACATCTTTTAAATAGAAAGTACCTTTGAGTTGCAACCATTCGGTTGTGTTTCGTGTAGCTAATTGTTAGTTCCACTAAGTATTTCTGGTGGCAGTGTATCTACGAGACGAATTCGGAATCCTAAGTATCTTAGAAAACCTTCAATCCAGGGACCAGCAGATGCCTATCACTTGTGTCACTGGACTCCAGTGTTGTAGACTGTAGTTTGAGTCCCAAACCTGGTGACTTAAAACATGCCAGGCACGTGTCCACGCATGCCCAAAATTCTGAAAGGAGAATGGAAGAGAAGGGATTGTGGTGTGGCCATTCCTCTTGGGGGATGATTTCTTGCTTTTTGTCTCTCTGTCTCTCTCTGTCTCTCCAGGGAGGGCACACGACCTATACCAAAATACCTCTCTAAAAATAATAGAGAAAGAAAATCTTAAATCTGTAGCAAAGAGCAATTTATAACTAGTGGATCAAGGAAAAGAAACGTCATGAAGAAAGTGCTGGCAATGGGTGATGTTCATCTGTAGCGTTCTCTACTAACCTGTTTTCCACTAAGCTGAATGGGAACATTAGGAGATACTTACTCCACAGGCGTGACTCAGTTTAGCTCATCACGAGGGAGCCGTGTCACAGTCTCTCAGTCTATAAAGAAACAAAACTGGGAGCTGGTGTGGACTGCGACATTCTTACATGTAATAGGTCGTAGTTCTATTACTTTGCACACAACTCCTAAAATTCCTGGAGCCTCCAAAGCTCCAAGTGTCTTTCACATGCGCATGAGTTGACTGTTGTCTGGCAGCCCCTGTGTAACTTCAGGATGAGGGCTGGTCACTGGACACACCTATGCAGTGGTAGCGTTGGAACTTTCAGTCTCCCTCCCCAAGCTCCTGGGGAGGGAGATGGGCTGAAAGACTGAGTTCATCAGTCATGCTCATGTCGTCATAAAGCCTTCATTAAAAACCAGAAGGACCATGTGTGGAGAGCTTCTGATGGGATGAACGCAGTGGGGGTTCTCAGAGGGTGGTGTACGCAGACTGCGGGAGCTCCGTCGCCCTCACTTCCCACTCCGCCTCGTCCTCTGTGGCCCTTGCGGTATTCTTTAAGATAAACCAGGAGATGGAAAACGAACAAAAAGCCTTCTCGTGTTTTTGAGATACATTCAATTATTCTTTCTTGCAAATAACTTTTGAGATTGGATTTCATTTAGCCTGATGGTTAGAATGAACTCTCGTGACTTACAATCCCCTAGCTGATGGCTAGAGTGAACTCTCGTGACGTACAATCCCCTAGCTGATGGCTAGAGAGGCAACCAAGAAGCGTTTGGAGACGGAAGAGCTTTAGAATTGTAAGGCTTTGTCAGGAGTGATCCCCAAACCAGCCCACCTGTATTCAAGGGGAAAACAAAAACAAAAAAACTAGCAGATAAAACCGTTCATATGTCTGATTATATGCTATGTATTAATAAAACTTAACTGTCCATTTTGCTGAGTATGGGTTCAGGACTTGTTTTAACTTTTGTCTACTAGAGTATAAATTAATAAATTATTTCCTAGTTTCTTTTAAGGTTTTGTAATTTTACTGAGTTTGTTCTTGCCAAGATCCAATAATTATCTTCACTTAATTGTCTTCACTTCAACTCTTCCAAAATATAAGGATGAAGTTAGTACTGTGAAGCTGTTTCCATGCCAGTTTTATTTTTTTTAATCATGTGCATACAGAATATACTTTAAAAGAAATTTTGGGCGATTAAGATAGCTTTTAAATGAGGTGGATATGCTTCTTTAGCTGTTTTGATCCATTAAAAAGTAAAAACCATACTAAAAGGGATGGGAAGGAGGTTCTGTCACTGGTTAATTGACGCTAAATAAAGTAAAAATAGAAACTATTAAAGAACAAATTAATGTTTTGATATTACATATTTGGCCAGTGTGTGTGTCTATCTATCTATATCTATCTATCTTTAATATGTATGCATACAGACACACACACACACACACACACATATATGCATGTATTTTTTATACACCTAGTGATAGAGTGTGGAATAATCAATTTTTCTAGATCAAGCATAGTCAAGAAGTATGTATATTAGCACAGTCTTTGTTAATTATTTGAGTTAACTAAATTGTTACTTCATTGTGGCCCAGACAAGGCAGCTAATTTATTTTTGATCATCATAGAAAGAAAGGATTTTATTTGTTAATAGAGTGGCTTTTTTATTAAAAAGCTAATTTTTTTTCATTTGCAATTTATATGAAAGTTGACCTAGGAATGTGGAATAAGGCAAACTCTTCATCTACTTCAGTTATTAAAAAATTACACATTCTGGGGGCAGGGGGTGGCATGGTGGTTAAGGCACTGGATTCTCACATGGCTGACCACAGTTCGAGTCCCGGACCCAGTGGTTTGAAAATCCCAACAGATAAATAGATGAATAAATGAATAAATGTTTGAAACACACACACACACAAATTACACATTTTGACTGCTTGTGTTCTTTTTAGTGAGGAAATGGAGACTCTCCTGAACCCTGAGTATCTGGAACATGATGCCTAGTAAGTACAAAACTTGGCTATTTTTTTATTTTCATATACCACTTTATTTTCCAAAGGTTAAACATAACATTTTATTGTTTTTGTTTTTTAAATTTTCAGTGCGATGTTCTCACAGCTTATGGAAACTGCCGAACCTTGGTTTTCTACCTTTGAACATGATGGTCAAAAGGTAAATCTTACATAGTACAGCTCTTTTCAGTGCATTTGAGAGAACAAGTTATTTCGTTAACAGCATGTAGCCAGGCTAATACATAGCGTAGGTCACACAAACAGCCATTGTTGCTGTAACGGAGACCGAAAACAGGAAGGTGCTTGTGAGATACCATTGACCCTGGAGATCTAAGCTGTATTTATAATAATATTGGCAGATATCAAACAACAGCATGAAGATCTTATATAAAGAAGTAGAAACTTTGGCTCAGTCTGTAGCATACTGGATCACATTTCTGGACGCCTCGGGGCTGGCCACAGGTTCGGATCCCCAGGTTGGGCTGAAAACACACCGAGACCCTGAAGAGCTTGAGGACTGAGGAAAGGGGGTTGGAGCACAATGAGACTCTGTCAAGGGAGCTTCTCTTTCTTGCTCTCGTACACGAGTACATGCTCTCTGGTATAGAGAAAGAACAGAGGCAGGTCGGGGGAGTAGATCACTACATAGAGATTTCCGTGTGTGTGTTAGCCATTGCTCAGTTATCAGGTTACTCTCGTCTCAGTAGCTGCCCCAGTGAGTTGACTAGACACGCTGTCAAATGTCGACATAGAATACCACACAGGCCGTTTTGCTTTCCTAAGGCCTCTGTGGAGCTCACACATCCAGGCTGCATACTCCTTACCCTCACTTTCTCTCATCCTTATTTTTAACTATGTTTTTATTCTTATACGATTCACATACCGTAAGAGTTCACCTTTTAAAGTACACGTTTTAGTGGATTTTTGTGCATTCACAGGGAGGTGCAAACATCTCCACTATATCCCAGAACGCTTGTACCCTCTCAGAAGGAAACGCCGGACCCACGAGCAGTCACTCCCCGGTCCTCCTCCCCACCGCCGCCTAAACAAAAGTACTCACTGTCTGAGAGGTCATCATGGCCTTTCCATTGTACGGTTTGAAATGGGAAACAATTAAAAATGTTTCTGGCGATGGACCTCAGGAGTACTTGGTGTATTCTTCTCAGTATGGTGACGTCCCTTTGTGTTGGTGTAATCGATCTCACTCTGGCTCTAAGCTGTGCATTACTCAGTGACATCACTGTCTGAAAAACGTGACCCGGGTAACTTGCGCTCTTCATACCCTCGGCTAGGTCAGGGCTTGCTGACCTACTGTCTGTTGGCTATTTTTTTATTTTCATATACCACTTTATTTTCCAAAGGTTAAACATAACATTTTATTGTTTTTGTTTTTTAAATTTTCAGTGCGATGTTCTCACAGCTTATGGAAACTGCTGAACCTTGGTTTTCTACCTTTGAACATGATGGTCAAAAGGTAAATCTTACATAGTACAGCTCTTTTCAGTGCATTTGAGAGAACAAGTTATTTCGTTAACAGCATGTAGCCAGGCTAATACATAGCGTAGGTCACACAAACAGCCATTGTTGCTGTAACGGAGACCGAAAACAGGAAGGTGCTTGTGAGATACCATTGACCCTGGAGATCTAAGCTGTATTTATAATAATATTGGCAGATATCAAACAACAGCATGAAGATCTTATATAAAGAAGTAGAAACTTTGGCTCAGTCTGTAGCATACTGGATCACATTTCTGGACGCCTCGGGGCTGGCCACAGGTTCGGATCCCCAGGTTGGGCTGAAAACACACCGAGACCCTGAAGAGCTTGAGGACTGAGGAAAGGGGGTTGGAGCACAATGAGACTCTGTCAAGGGAGCTTCTCTTTCTTGCTCTCGTACACGAGTACATGCTCTCTGGTATAGAGAAAGAACAGAGGCAGGTCGGGGGAGTAGATCACTACATAGAGATTTCCGTGTGTGTGTTAGCCATTGCTCAGTTATCAGGTTACTCTCGTCTCAGTAGCTGCCCCAGTGAGTTGACTAGACACGCTGTCAAATGTCGACATAGAATACCACACAGGCCGTTTTGCTTTCCTAAGGCCTCTGTGGAGCTCACACATCCAGGCTGCATACTCCTTACCCTCACTTTCTCTCATCCTTATTTTTAACTATGTTTTTATTCTTATACGATTCACATACCGTAAGAGTTCACCTTTTAAAGTACACGTTTTAGTGGATTTTTGTGCATTCACAGGGAGGTGCAAACATCTCCACTATATCCCAGAACGCTTGTACCCTCTCAGAAGGAAACGCCGGACCCACGAGCAGTCACTCCCCGGTTCCCCTCCCCACCGCCGCCGCGATCACTAACCAGCTTCCGTCTGTGGGCTTTCCAAGTCGTGTCTGTGTAAACGGATCATGCAGCGGACGGCTTTTTCTGACTGACTGCTGTCGCATAGCGTGAGGTGGTCCGTGTTCGTTCCTGTTGTAGCGTGTCACAATTTCATTCCTTATTACGGCTGACCAATATTGCATTACGTAGATATACCACATTGGGCTTATTTATCAGTGATGGACATTTGGAGTCTCTTCATTGTAGTTTATTATGCTAATGCTGTTAAGAACGTTCATGTACATGTCTAACTCATGGATGAATGTGTGTTCTCCGTTTTCTTGGTATGTCCCTAGGAGTGGAATTGCTTAATTACATGTGATTCTAAACAAAAGTACTCACTGTCTGAGAGGTCATCATGGCCTTTCCATTGTACGGTTTGAAATGGGAAACAATTAAAAATGTTTCTGGCGATGGACCTCAGGAGTACTTGGTGTATTCTTCTCAGTATGGTGACGTCCCTTTGTGTTGGTGTAATCGATCTCACTCTGGCTCTAAGCTGTGCATTACTCAGTGACATCACTGTCTGAAAAACGTGACCCGGGTAACTTGCGCTCTTCATACCCTCGGCTAGGTCAGGGCTTGCTGACCTACTGTCTGTCTGCAGGCCACATCCGGCCTGCCATCTGTTTTTCTGGGTAGTGTGTGTTAAGAATGGTTTTTACATTTTTAAATGGTTAGAGAACTCTCAGTGAAGTACATTTGAGACCCGGTCTAGTGGCAGATATAGCAGCAAGCCGAACTGGCTGTGCAGGAAGTCACATGGCCCGCTGTGGCTGAGGCTTCAGGTTCCCCGGGATCGGCTGGAAACCGTGTATGGGGCCTGTTGTGACGAGCCGAAGGGAAAGGGCACTGGGGCTTGTTGAGGTGCTGTCAAAGGTACACCTCTGTCTCTCGCTCGCTCTCTCGCTCTCATTCTCTCTCGCTCTTGTGCGCATGAACTATACGTCTTGAGCAAAATTAATAACTTTATAAAACTCTGTGATGTGAAAATGATATAAAATTCCCTTTCCATGTCCAGAATAAAGCTTCATTAGAATACGGCCACTCTGTGTGCTGCTGTCTGTGGCTGCCGGGGGGGCGCAGCGGCAGGACTGGCCTAAAACGTTGACTCCCTCCGCTCCTCACAGCGAGTGCTGGCGGCCTCCTGCCCCTCACAGTGTTGTCTCGTATGTCTCCAAGTTCCCCAGGGATGCTGAAGGCCAATCCTGCCAAGAACAGCCTTGACGAAGCCCTCTGTTACGGAGCGACGGCCTTACGTTCTTGACCAGTGGCCTGAAGAAGTCATACACCTGTATGAACATCACATTTTGAGCAGTTTTTAGACACATTAAAAATTAGTGTCATGATCATTTCACACAGTGGTCATTTTGTATTTTACAACTAATTCGTAATATCTGAGAAACTGAGTGATTACAATGTAAGGGTTTGAACAGCTGGTGGCGTGGTGGTTAAGGCACGGGACTCCCACATGGCCGACCATGGTTTGAGTCCTGGACCTGGCAGCTTGTTTTCTCTCTTTCCC